CAGTTTACATTGGGAACATTTTACAAATGATTATAGGAACATCAAAGTGAGAATATTTCAAGTGGATTTTGGAGTAAAAGTAGGACATGGACAGTAATGGTTTGATTTGTTGTCATAAGGTCTTTATAATATTAGACCCAAATCAAAACCACAGATGGATTCAGAAAACCTTCATTTCCAGTGGAGTGAAAATTAAATCCATGAGATTGCATTCCCCAGAAGTCAAAGAGTGGCATTTATGCTGGATACAAAAGATTTTCACAAAAGGCCCATTAATGTGCTGCTTCATTTCGTTCACATTCAAGTCGCAGTGTTTACAGATCAGAAGTACATTCTAATTAAGAGCTAAATGTTGCAAACATACAGTATATGTTTTGTAGCCGTTGTCGTATTTTCACTAAGCTGTTAGTTAATTGAATGTCAGAACTATACGTAGACTCTAAACAGAGGTGGTAAATTACACAGTTACTGACACGTGCCACAATACATTAAACTCAGTAATTAACTTGCATGGCTGGCAGTGTAGTGCATATGATTTATTATTTTATCAAAGAGAAAAGGCATTAAAAAATGTAAAACTTTCAACATATCTTTGTATTTATGCCCAATATTTATTTCAATTTGCCAAATCCTCCCAGAAATGGTGAAATGATGAAACACACATGTGCCATCGATGTTAAAGATATAGTTTTGACCTTAGAATCTGAAATCCATGACTATTAGGTCAGATTTTACCTCTAAAATAAACTCTTGTGATGAGGGTTTATTTATACATGTTCAGGATACACCATCATTACATCCATATTTTAAACTGCAAACTCAAATTAGGACCTATGTGAGGGTTCTCACATTAACCAGCCAGAGAGACGCTGAATGGAATTCAATTTTAATTTCTTATTTTTTCAGTACTTTTGTTGGCAAGTCTATGATAATAGTTGCTAAAAGAGGTTAATGTATTTCAGTTCCTTTTGTCCATCTATTAAGAGACTTCTGTACTTCAGTTGTCATTTTAGAAGGAAACAAAAACTGCAAAGTCTTACAAAGTCTGTAACAAAGGGAATTTACTTTTTTTTTTTTAAATAAAGCCTTAATCTTAAAATAATGTTAATGCACAATGGTAGCCAATTTAAAAACAATTCAAAAGGACAAAATAAAAAAGAAACATTGAAAAAAGTGTCCTTTTTGCAGTATTTTTTTTAGATGCACATTGTTTTGGGGGCTTAGAGGAGTCAAAACGTATGTATTATTTTTTTTTTTTTACACCAAATCTGTTATACTGTCTTATGATAAAATGTCTTATCATATTGAGAGAAACATAATTTTCTTGGATTTTACAGAAGTATACACAACACCACTGGCATTGCAGAAATTTAGAAATTACTCCACGTCACTTCCTTAATCCAGACATCTTCCACCTGTCTACTTACTTTATCTGTCACAACTACAACACAAGATTTAGGGAATCCAATACGCCTGATGCAATGGGACAAAAAATATAGGCTCCTATGTTAGTGAATATATCTTGCAGAAAATATGTTCAGTATAAACTATTTGAATATTGTTTAGATGCCTTATGTAATAAGGTCAGCCAGAATCTGAGTACTTTTACAAAGAAATGCTTGCAATTTTTATTTTAGCACTTTATTCTCCCTTTTATTTTTTTTTACAATTCTGTTCTGATTTTTTCCCATGCAAAGATTGTGTTTCAGAACTTTGAGGCCAATTTTCATAGAGCTAATGTTGTAAGTGTTTATATACCTCTTCTGGAAGTAAGTGTTTTATGTCATTTATTTATGTTGAAATGTACTCAGTGAAAGTGGTATTTAGCCTCAAGGCCTTGTGTAAAACTTGTGTATTGGCAGTATTTGGTTGAATACATCTCTCCCTCTCTTCAGTACTCTGTAATTAAGGCATTTGTAGATGTCAGTGTAAATATTCTAAAAGATGGTTTCTAATCTCTTATGTTCATCAATCAGTAAATTGTAAGACAATAAATCTGTAATTTCATTTTTTTTTCTTTGCTGCTTTTCCTTGATTTCCACTCAAAAAAGTAAGAAAGTGTCTGACACGGATTTAAGTTTACTTTTAATAGAATGTACAAACTTTATTTTAGAAAAGTATCGTTTTTTTGCTGAGTGAAATATAAAACAGTTATCTTTTTCTTTAAGAGGGATCACAGTTCACTTTTGTGATTTTCTGCCTCCCCCTTTAGCACCTCCTTTGCCTCCTTTTTCATCCTTCTCTCCTTTGTCGCTCTTCTTGCCTTTTCCTTCACCACCTTCTTTCTTGGACGCTCCTTTTTCCCCCTTTTCTCCCTTCTCCCCCTTCTCCCCCTTTTCACCCTTCTTTTTTGTAGAAGCCTCATCGTCATCCCCTTTCCCTTCTTTGGCACTCTTGTCTTTCTTTCCTTCCTTGCTCTTCTTTTCTCCTTTTTCACCATCCACTTTCCCGGACACTGTTGGAACCTCGGTTTTTTCTTCTGGTTTTGCAGCTGCAAAAAGTAAGAAAAAAGGGTCAGGACTTCTAAGCAGCAATCAGCTCTTCCTGGGTATTTCTAGAAACAGTTGTATTGACACCTTTCTTGAAGAACACACACAAAATGCCTTATATGGCTCTATAAGAACCCAATAATACATCAAAAAATAAAAATAAAAAAATCAGCTGTCCATATCGTATCACAGAAGACTTCTCTTGGAGTAATAACACAGCATTTCTGTGTATTTTTTTATTTTTTTGTCAATTTAATAGAATTATTAAAAGAGGAATCTGCCTCCTGAAAGAGCTGACTCTATTCAGGCGTTTTGCGTGATATTAGGGAATTTCATTTGTATTTTAGCTACAAGAGGTAGCTAAAATGAATGTCTGTCTTTAAAGTCTAATCTCCTTTTGTTTCCCTGACTTAGGTGTTATAGTGCTGCAAATATATCTGCATAAACAAGATGTTAAGTGCTATGTACAAATCAACATAAAAAGAAAATCCAATCAGATATCCAGATCCGATTTAGCGAGGAAATATTAGTAGTGTATGTATATAGCTTAAAGGAAGGAGCTTTACTCTTGCAGCTATGGTGATAAATTTCACTTGATGAGTCCAAAGGTTCACAGGAAACAATTTTGTTACTCAGCAACAGCTTTTAAAAACTTTGACTGCTACTCTAATTGGGGGCTATGTTAAGCCTGGCATGTTTTCTCTCTCTTTTGTAAACTGTCAGTCTATTTTCTTGGCATCTCATTGGTTACATACCTGGTTGACTTTGTGTTAAATTGAGGCAGAAATGCAACCTTGATTTTTTTTTTCTTTTTGTCTACTAATTCGCCGTTACAACATGGCATTTATGTCTGGAATAATTTCTCACATAAAATACAGTGATGTCTCCAGATTTATATTTATATGGAATTACACACCTTCTACTTGGAAATAAGCAGGTATAAGTGGAGGTGAAAGTAGAGAAATGAAGAACACACACATAAAACTCTATATAGTTCTTCTTTATTCAGTGGGGAACATTTTGGATAAGGAGGGAAGATGGAAGGTAGTTAAAGACTAAGCCTTGTGACTTCCAGCATTTTTTTCCCCTACTCACTGACTGTATATGTAAGATACAATGTCTCTGAAAGAGGAGAAGCTCATTATTTTTCTTACTTGACTCTACTGTCCCAGATATGTTTCTCCTCTTGGCACGTTTGAATATATGGCAGTATAAAGACCTTCAATCTTGTAGAAAGTTTTGAGATCAATGTCGCAGGCCAGTTTATACTCTTCACGACATCTAGGCCCAGTACTCATACAAACATGCATTCCTCTTAACTTTTTCTCCTTAGAAAAGCAGTCAGGAGGCCCATGGTAAAATCATAGGTAAAGATGAATCATTTCAAGGCTTTAGAGAAATGCCAACTCCTCGGTTTTCAACACCAACAAGAACTCTTAAGGTTCTTCAGTCTGAAAATTAAAAATGAAACGCTTTTTTTTTCATTAAAGAATCCATGGCATGGCCAAAAGTTTGGCATCCTGTGTTTATTTATTTAAAAAAAAGTCTGTGAAACATAATCAGGAATTTCTTCTCACTGTGAGATAGATACTGCTTCACATTCAGTGACGCCATTTTCAGCATGTATTACGAGGATGTCAGATGCTGTTACCGATTTAATGTCAGACACACCATCATCTTGACATAATCCAGAAGGAGATGCATAAATTTACATATTTATTTAGCTTTTTTTGCTGCCTTCCTGCTTAAGTCATTCAGAGGCAAACATTGGAGCAAAGTTTATCAGACAGAACAAGTGATAACTCCGTGCTCATTTTCAGCATTTCATTATGGTTACTGTCCCTCCTCTTATCCCAGTGACATGGTTAATTAGCTGCATAGTGCCACGGATGAATATCCACATGCTGAAATCAGAAACTAAAGCAATGTGGAGCAACAGCAACTTCATCATGTTCTTTTTATTCTCTGATGCCAATATTATTTCCGACATGCATCATGGGAAAAACACTTAAGCGTGTAATTGCACTATATCAATTACACGTTACTCAATGAACGCATTTCCGTGACCACAAAGAAGATGGAGCAGAATCAGCAGAGAGGATAAGATTCTTCTGACACATTAAAAGAAATGGCACCTGAACTAAAATAACAGATGTAAAAGAACAGTCATAACAGCAGAGTCCAAACTATTTATTTTATTCAAATCTAATCCCACAGTTAGGAATATTGATGGGGGAGATACAAACAGACAGGAGGAGGAACAAACACCATCCTATGCAACATTTAACACAAGGCATGCCGCATACATGGCAAATCAATCAGGTTCTTTTCATTGCAGTTTTGCTATTCCAGCTGTTTCAAAATTCATGTACAAAAATATCATGCAAACATTCAAAAATTTCACAACTCAACCTAGAGGTGCTTTTTGAGATGCTCTATAGGGTGGCAAAAACTGGGGTATTTTGTCCCCCAGGTTCTTGGGGATTTAGACATGCTTAGATGTGTAAATCAAGATGGATACTTTACTTGCTGTTGTTGCTGAAGTTGGAATTTCATTGGCAACTTCAGGTATGCTGCTAATTTAAATGGCTTTTTTGTGTTCTTTTGGAAACCGTTGACACATTTGATCATATTTCATTCAAAATCTGAAATACAGTAATTATAAATTCATTTGATCTTTCAACACTGAATACAATGAACAGAGATAATTTTAAAACACACTTTGAGAATATGCAACCTTTATAATAATAAAATCACTAAAGAAGCATTTTGAATACTTTTTTGGCATTGAGAAAAATATCAGTAGCACAATTTTGACCAGTCAGACCTGGACCTAATTATTCTACACTAATTACAGATTAAAACACAGCTTGTAATATTTAATGTTTTATCCATAAGTTGGAGAAGAATGCACTTTTACATTTCTAAAAAATTCTGCTGGAATATCTGTCCATATACAGAGCTGTGGAAATGGATTTACCACTTTTCAAATGTATTCTGTTTTTGCTTTTTTTGTCAATATATTTTCATTAAAGCAAGTTTTATTATTACAAGAACCAGTATTTGAATGATTTTCATTGTAATTAAAGAACAAAGACTATTCAAATCAATGTATTCTTGTGCAAGAAAGTTACAACCCTCTTTCTTAAATTACAACTACATGAGCTCTAATTACTGCCACACCTTCAGAAACCAGAAATCGCCTAAATGGATCCTATCTGACAAGTTGAAGACCTCCAACATCAACACAACATTTAACAAGTTTAGGAAGATGTGAAAAAATAAGCCAATGGTAGCGATTGCTTTGGAGAGGATTACAAATATTTTTTTGAGACTTTGATGTTGTAAATAAAAGCCAAAACAAAGGTTTCAGAATTACCTAATCAAAGTCTAAAATTCAATCCAAATGGAATGCTGTAACTAACCAGAATCGGTTGCTTATGCTTGAAAAAACCACTGTGACTTGGTTAAAACCAATTTGCAAAAAAAGAGTTGGCAAAAATGTTTCTACAGCAATGTAAACAACTTTGTTGTCTCAAACACCTTATGGCAGTTGTTACCACAGAGAATGGCAGGAATTCGTATTAGATGTTATAAGGGTTATTACTTTTTACATAGGGTCATATTGGCTTATATAGCTTCTTCCTTTAATGCATTAAACCATTTCCAAGCCGTAATTTGTCTGTACCAGAGTCAAATTCGCCTTAGGTTAAAGAGGAGGGGTATTTTTTTTTTTTTTACCACCTTGTACATAAATAACATACACACTCCCAAATACACACCGAGTATGGTGAAATCCACAACTGCCAAGCTGTTCTAACCAAATCTTATTGTTAAAAGCAGCACCCTGGTAGTTTCATTAAAGTTTCATTAAAGAGGACACCACTACTGAGCAAAGCCTGAAAAGTTTCAGCAAAGCCTGAAGATTTTGTGCTTTCTTTTCTGGCAGCATTTTGGAAGTGCTACTTTAGTCAAGCTAAACAAGGGATTGATTTAGCTTTTGCCACCAGCAGTTTTTTAACGAAGATTCAGCAAGGGCTGAATTGAGAGTGGAATAAAAGCATTTTGGATAAATGAATGAAGGGTGCTTTTAGAGTGGCTCCTACTGTAAACACTACACTTTGCAAAGCAATTGAGCCAAAGAGGAATGGCTGAAGGAAGATAAGAGCAGAAGAACAGGAGAAAAAAAAAAAAAAGCATCATCCCAGCTCTGGCAAAGACAGAGTGCTAGGGTGGTCCTCGTTGAGAATAACCCCAGAGAGGGGGCTGCTGTTAGGGTTTTGAGTCTGGACCTGCTCAGACACTGTCTGCAATGCAGAGGCATCTGGGGTCGCTGGAAGAAAAGGAGGAAGAGAAGACAAGAGAAAAGGAGAGGAAAAGTGGAGATTATAGGAACAGAACTTTACGAGACAAGTATAAAAGTGAAGAAAAAATATATGATTTAAGAGGACAGTGTGAAATAAAATAGTTGTTAATCAGAAAGTGTGTCTGAGACAATACTGAGTTTTCTGGGTTTTATTTTAAATTTAGTGTTCACTGCTATTCTCTGCAAATTGCAGATACACAGAAATAAATCAATTTCAATCGTGAACTGTTGCATTGAATAAAAAGCACTGTGTGGATACAGATGTACAAACAGCCTCTGAGAAAGGCTGTTTCCCCCATCCGTTTTTCTCCCATGTCAGAAAGAGCTGAATTTTTAGCTTAAGAAGTATGGCACAGAAGGGTAATTAAACTGCTAATGTCAACTTCAGAGCTAAAGCCTGCTGTTGCTTTTATTACCCAAGGACTTCTGTCATGTGACGATTCAAATGGTATTACAGAGAGGTACTTACATCCTGGGATCTCAGTCAGCTCATTCAGTGGTGGCACTGTCTCTAATGTGTTGGCATATTTTTTGGCAGCTTGTCTTTGTGCATGCCGTGCCTCAATTTCCTTTTTTGTCCGTGGGATACGGCATTTGAAAATACAGCACAGAGTAATAACTGAAAGAAAGGCAAAAAAAAAAAAAAGAAAAGAAAAGGACATGGTGAGTTTAAATGATTAAAACCTCTTATTCATCAGGAAGGTGCAACACGTTGCACTTAGGAGTAAGTTAGCGATTACACATCCTGGAGAGATGTGAGTTATGACTTTCATTTAGAACAGCCCAAAAAGAATCTGTGCTTTCTGCAGAAGCTGAACTACAATGAGCAACGGGAGCAAATGTACAGCAAAGAGCAAGATGCACCGCAAAATGAATGATGCTAACTCCAAAACACACATAATGCAACAAATGTGGCAATCACAGAACACAGAAGCAAAAACCTAACACCAGCAAAATAAATGCAAAAGAAAACTGCTACAGTCACAAGTAGAACAGCTTCAGACCACCAGGAGGAGTCTGCAGTAAGTAATATTATTAAATATGTTGCTGTTGTAATATTGCAAAAGACAGCACGTTTGAAAAAGACATAAAGTATAATGCAGCTTTTCTACTTTCTTCCAACTTTCTTCTGGACATCCCGTTAAATCATGACATCTTTTCTTTACTGAGAGTCCAGTCGCATATGACTTGGTGGTGAACTCTCATTAAGTGGTCTGGAACACTTGGAGCAACTTTGCATCATTTGTTTTTTTTTTTTTCTATTTGCAGCATTTTTCCTTTTGTTTCTATTTCTTGTGGTTGCATAAATGTGTCTATTTTTTTTCTTTTCCATTTGATTTAGTGGTTTTAGACTTTTGCTTCTCTTTTCTGTGTTTGTAGCATATTTACTGCATTTGTTTTTTGTGTTCGTGTGTTTTGGGGTTTGCAATATTTATGTGTTTGCAGAAGGTTTTGCCATTTGCCATCCGTTTGCACGGAAGATAACTATAAATACCAATTATCTTCCCGGTCTTCTTCAGTCAGACTGCCTCCTCAAGAATTTGATTTCAGCTGCTAACAGTTTCCTCTATTTGTTTTGACCTTTAAACCTGGAAACTATGCTTCCGATCAGCTCTCCAAGACTGTGTCTTTTTTTGTTCTCGTTTTTGCATGCTTTTTCCTGTTTGTGCAAATCAATAATCTGTTCTCTGAACTCTCACATAGTTCTTGTGTGATTAGGGGAATCTTTCTATCTCAACCACACAAATGAAACTCTTATTTGGTCACATCAGGTGAACTTGAGACCTTACAACCTTCTCAAACACTTTGCTTTTATAAAGAATTGCATTGTATAGGTTTCAGACTGTAGTCACTGAAAGTTGAATTTGGATAAAATCCTTGCATTTTTCTTGTGCTTTACTATTAAAACAATTTTTTAGTCAACCTCTGAACATTTCTGAGTTTCCCTAATAAATCAAATTTGCAGGAGGGGTTACATAACGGTAGATTTCTTGTAGTCACACCAGTAAGAAACTGAATTGACAAAGGCATACTTACTAACAGCCAACACAAACACTGAAAAGATTCCAATGACCTGCCATAATCTCAGCCCCCAGAAAACGACAGTCTCTGAGGTGACAGGGTCCGGCTTCTTCGGGGGCGGTGTGGGTAAAAGCTATAAGCAAATGACAAAACAAACAAACTTTTCACACAAACCAGAATTTTGCCAATATAATGTGCAGTACTATATATGTCTCTAATAAAGATCTCTGATAATAGTACTTTGCTGCTAGGCAATTTGCTACAGATGTGTGTAGAAGGCATTTTGAAACATTTATTTCACCACTGACCTCTATAACTGGAGCTTGGGAAAGGACAATTATACGTTCTCCCAAAAGGATATGTTGTCGGTGCTACCGCAGAGCATCGCCCCCTCTGATAAAACCATCAAGAGAAGGTTTCCCTGGCTGCTATTTATTGATCACTTGACTGGATGTGGAAACTCTACACTTTAATCTATGAAGCACCAAGTAATTGATCTAAAAATAGGCCATTGTTCTGTCTGCTACAATTACTGAAAACACTGCAAGGCGATAAAAAACAAAGAAAAGAGAAGCTGGATGTGGATACAGAATTAAAACAAGACATTAGAGCTTTTTTCTTGTTAAAACCAAATTATTTCAGATCTTTATCTTTATCTAGGTTTAATGCAAATTCCAAATTAGAGCTAATACGTTCACTGATCTATGTTGTTCTTATCAGTAGTACCGTGTTTACCCGAAAGTAAGACAGTGTCTTAGTTTCTTTTTATCCCCAAAAGCCCCACTATGTCTTACTTTCGGGGTATGTCTTATATTGGAAAAAAATTGTCGAATTTTTTGTTTTAACCATAAAATTAAATTAATTTAAGCAGGAGGTGGCAGTGACAAGTGCAGGGGACGGCGCGGTGACGTGTGGAGAGGGAGACTGCGTAGGTGTGGGCAGGAAGCGGCGCTCATTTGGATCAGACGGAGGCGGCAGACGCGGTGACGTATGGAGAGGGGGACGGTGCGGACATGGGCAGGAGGCGGCGCGCAGCTAGATGAGAGGTGTTTCCGCGAAAAGTAAGACATATGTCTTACTTTCGGGGTACGGCTTATATTAGCCGACCCCCCTGAAACTCCCGATACGTCTTACAATCGGGGGTGTCTTACTATCGGGGAAACAAGGTATCTGTCAGAACACCAGGTTTTGGTGTGTTGTCACAAAGTCAGACAGAGTTACACATTTTCACAGATTTTAAATATATCATATCTTCAAAGCTGCTTGTTGCTTTAAATTGCAATTGCTGTAACTCAGTCAGTGGAAACACTTCAAATCGGAGCCGTTTGTTTCTCTACATAGATGCAGATGTGACACACACATCACATTTAAAACCCCAGTCCCAGGTCAGACTTTAAGATGTTTTCTTCACCTGGTGCTCAGATTCATTTATCTTTCCATCAATCCCCCCGATTGTTGCCTGTCCCTGCTCAGCATCAACCCAGAGCATGATGCTGTCACTGCCATGTTCCAGTGGAACATAGAATCTATGCTATGCAATGATAGTTTTCCTTACCACAGAAGGCTTTCTATGCTGACCAAAAAATAACATTTTGGGTATCAACCTGGTTGGCAAATCTTCAGAACAAGTCTTATGAAGAAGCTTACTTCAAACTTCTTATGACTTCCTTTCAATAATGACATTCTTTATGTCATAAGTGGTGTGTATGACGCGAGACAACTGGGTATGCATTTGAAAACACTGCCAGTTTTCATTCATCTTCTTCATGTATATTATTGGCTACTGTGCAACAAGCTAAGTAAGATTTTACACCACATATTTATTAAGCATTTCAAGTATTTTACCACAAGCCTGAACTTCAGTCATTTCGCTTTCAAAGCTCAAAAGGCAGCATGTGAGCAGCCACAGGGACTCCCTCTAGAGGTTTCTGGCATTTTCTCTTATCTTTAATGAAAAACCTGTTCGCGTCACATTAAACTTGAACTGTTATGCATAAAATAACAGTTCAAGGCATAGCCTTTTGACAAAGGCTATGCCTTTATATGTTATATGTGGCATTTTTTGTACATGAAAAGAGAGTGCGTTCCTCCAACAGAAAAGGCAAGAATACTTTGTGTATGTGAACATATAAACCTTACCTTTAAGTCTAGTTTCTAATACTTGAGTCCTAGTTGTTTTTATTTCCCATGGGGAACCTTTTTGGTAATTACAACATCTGACTTGTCTTAGATGCTATAATGCTGCTTTTGTCTGTGAAGTCTCTCATTCCCTCTTATGTTTGTGCAGATTTTACACAAACTGCTCAGTTTCTAAATCATTTCTTATCACCTTTTAGCTTTTTTTTTTCTTTTTATGTCAGACCAGAATGAAAATCAACTTATCTCTCTTCTGTTCAACCCGAACACCAAAGTAACAGTTAAAACCAATACTTGTCACAGCAACTCTGCTTAGCTTTTCACACCGGCTCACGCAGTCATGTTTTTTCTATTTTCCCGCAAAACCACCCAATCCCAGTAAGAAGACAAACAACAAGCCGGGCACCCAATCAAGTGACATAAATTACGTTTATGGATGCTATGTTACGCAACTAAACACCTGCGCCTATATCTGTGAAGACTATGTTGGAGGACATGGCGTGCCTTCAGGCTCTTACCTCAGGATCCGGGACCTGGGAGAGCACAGAGGACAGGCACTGAGACAGCAGCAGAGTTCTCCATCCCCACAGGAGAAGCTGAGGTGGGCATCCAGACTGTCCCCCGACCATTCTCTCCCCCTGGTTCTCCCTGCAGCCACCCTGCCCCCTCTTCCCCCTTCTGCTCTCTCTTCTTCTTTCTCTGTCTGCCTGCCTGCTTACACTGGCGCCGTTTACAGGACAGGACCACAATGGCCCTTTAGTGATTGATAGCGAGAATGATACTGATGGCCATCCACTGCTGTTTCTTTTGGCTTTCCACCACAACACAATCCGAACCAAAAAACACAGAGTGGTCCCCTCTGCACCCAGCTGGAAACTACTCCAGTACAATGGAGGGAGCCAGTCTTGCAGTTGGGGGACATTAATTAATTAGCAGAGCTGGTGTAGTTTACAGCAGGCTCACCCAACTGAGGACAGGCAGTTAACTAAGAGAGGGGGATGGGCCGTGCAGTTGGCCATGATGAGATCGACCTATTCAGATACAGCGAAGCGAATGGCTGCGAGTCATCGCTTTTACAGCCTCAGAAGGTTGTAGAGTGAAAATCCCCACAGCCTCATCCTTTCAGAGTGGCAAAGTATGATAAGCTGAGCTGCTGCTGACTCCAATGTTTTCAACAGGCGCTTGTCCAAGGAAAGTAAAAAGAAATGAAGAGTAACTGCTACAACACTGGCATAGACTGCAGTGAATTGTTTTTTTTTTTTGTTTTTTGTTTTTTTTTTTTTTTCAGCTTAGTGAAAATATTTTTGCCTGGCTGACTCTTATGGTTTTTTTTATTACAAGTACAAGAATCAATTTCATTAATGAAAAAAAATCCTCAAATGAAGTGAATTTAATGTTTTTGACAACATTTTCAGCTTTTGTTTGAAAATATGTTGAAAATACAATTCTAATATATATCTAAAATTGAACTTTTTGTCTTGCAGGTAACACTTAATATATCAACCATGCAATAAAACATGGTGGTAGCAGCATAATGCTTGGGGATCTTTTTCAGCACAGGCTGGGCAGTTGATCATAGCTGTTGTGAAAATGGTTGCACTGACGTTCAGAATAATCTTGGAAGAAAACCTGTTCAGGTTTCAGTCTCAATCTCAAACTTTACTAACATTTTTTTTACTAGCCAAAAAGTCTTCTTTTTATATAATATTTGTTTTTATAACATTATATTTTCTCTAATTTAAAGAATCCAAGAAACTTGAGATTGGGACAGAACTTCACTTTCAAGTCGGACAACGACCGTGAAAAATCCTTTAGAGCCAAAATAAAATTGTTGAGATCAGAGCTGGTCAGAGATAAATTTAGAGAAAATATGATCTTATAAAAACAAATATCATAAGAAGATTTTTTGGCCAATAAGAAAATTGTCTGTAAAGTTTGGAACTGACTCCCGATACCTGAATGGAGTACTGCAAGATTAAAGGACCTCATTGCCACAAATTAAGAAGTTGTTAGAGTTTAAGATGGCATTCTTTATGAAACTATTTCTTAATCCAGTGACATAAATATGATCATGTAAGCCTGAATCAAAGTGTGCACCCGAGTTTAGGTCTCGTGACAGCAACGATCACAGCCCACGATTGACGTCCTTTTCATGTTCATCAAAAGAATCCTTGACCTTTTAATTCCAAAGGATGAAGGTATTGCCATCCTGAAAGAGGCCATATCCATCAAGGGAAAAATGGTTCATAACAGGATAACAGTAGTGATTCAAATTTTCAGTGACTTTTTCCGCTGAGGGGATAAGCGGATCAAAACCAGTTCTGCAAAACAGAGTTATCCTCAGAGCCACCAGCTCCTTTTTTGCTTCTGATATTCTATTAAAACTGACACATCCTCTATATTATATTCAGAAGAGCGGTGGGTTTCACTCATGGCCACACTGTACATTTAAAAGGGCTAGTTATAACATTATAAAATGTGGTTCAAGTAAAATAATACTCTCTATAATGATCATGTGACTGAAGTCATATGGTCATTATATACATGTTGTTAGGGAACATTAAGTTATTCCTTAAACACTTTAAAGTGTTTCCTCAATGTTGTACAATGAGTGCTAAACATTAGATTGCGCATCAATGCACTGGAGAAATATTTGGTTGTTATATTTATGTCACTTAGTTTGAACATCATCGTATGAATGTGTCCTCTGTGGCAGCCATCTTGTAATGCCAACAGCTCTTTTACTGGAATTGAGCTGGCACAAGTAGGAGTTTGACTGGCTGATCATTTGTAGAAATTTTGTAGAAATGTAAAGCAATTAAGAGAAGCATGAAGTGAAATATAAACTGGATATATTTTTGTAGATAAATAAATAATAAAGTTCTGATTATTTATGTGAAACGTAATCTTTTCCTTCTTATAAATAACTTTCACAGCAGGTCAAAATCTACAAAGCCAAGATACCTGTCTCATAGGACATAATAGTAATAATAATAATAATAATAATAATAATAATAATAATAATAATAATAATAATAATAATAATAATAATAATAATAATAATTACTGTGTAATGAACACAAGCTCCCAGATTTGACCTTTCACAAACATTTAATTGTCTTCTACCAAAACACTGAATCATTTTGTGTAGTGTGGCGTGGATTGTGATGTGTCTTCCTCTGCTGAAAGAATGTTTTGCACAATTTATTTTTGACCAAATCAGTCAAAAATGTTTAATTGCAATAAGTGATTTTGTGTATTACACAATTTCTATTACCAAATCAAATTTCTGTTAGTTTGTCCTCTGCTTCTTCATGGACTCAGTCACTCTGCGACTTTCTACACAGTCAGAGCGTTTTCCTGAACTCACCAACATCCAGAGAAAGCCTCCGCATTACTGATACTATCCGATCACGAGAAATATTTTGTGCAATATTTATTGAGATATCCACCACATGTAAGATTTTACCAGTTCATTATCTTTCTAGAGAGCACCAGTTTATAGATCCCGAACCATCACTTTTGAGTGCAGTGTTATGCTTTTTTGTCACTGCTATTTTGGCCCACCAAATCTTGAGAACAAAATGAGTCCACAGTTGTTGCTCTGTTTTCAGTGACTGTATGCGCAGAAGGTCTCAAACTGTGTCGGTGGGAAATTTGCTGCTGAACCCACAGCGTGAGGTTGATTTGTTGCTTTCACTGCAAGCAGGTTCCTCCTGAGTGTTGACATTAGACACAGAGAGGAGATGAGAAAATAAAGACGGTAAAAGCCCCTGCAGGACACAGGCAGAAGCAATGTAAAATACTGATTAAAAGTGTCTGAGCCACAAATATCATTATTCTAAAATATAATATATTCTGTCATAGTTTAAACACACATTCTCTCATGTATTTTCTTTTTTTTTTAAAGGAATGTTATACAGTGTTGCACAATCAATTACAACACAGGAGGACATTTTACTTGCAGATCCCTGAGATTGCTTATTCAGAATACATAACTCATTTTCCAAAGGTTATCCTGTCAAAGGCAATGCAA